GAACAGGAATAATTAGTAATAAGAAACTCTGACTGGGAACAAGCCACCCAAAAGCCGATCGCTCAGCAAAAATGTATGAGAATATGTAGATGAATTGATTGGACATACATTGATGAAACCGTCGAATAACAGCGCACTCAGTGCCACGCAGGCCATCTTTCAAGTGGGATACCCCACCAGCTACCTCCCGTACCGTGGCCACCAGCAGCCCATCCTTGGTCCAGAATTCATATTGATTTTGCTGGCCCTACAAATGGCGCATATTATTTAGTGGTGGTAGACGCTTTTTCTAAGTGGCCAGAAGTTATACCAATGGTTTTGCCGACAACGTCCCAGACTCTCAAAGCTCTCACTGACATATTCTCCCATCATGGTCTCCCACAAACCATAGTTACAGACAATGGTTCGCAGTTTACCTCTCATCAGTTTCAGCAGTTCTGTCGTCAAAATGCTATCGAGCATATGTTCACACCACCGTATCATCCTCAGTCAAACGGCCAAGCAGAACGTTTTGTCGACACTTTGAAGAGAGCTTTATTCAAAGCAGAGGGAGAGGGGACATCATTTGACATCATCCAAAAATTCTTGATGGTGTACCGTACAACGGCGAATGAGTCAACACAGAACAAGAAATCGCCGGCAGAAATTCTTTACGGACGGAAACTTAGAACGATTCACAACTCGATGTTACCACCAACACCCAAACGTGCCAACGCATCATTTCGGATTGAAAAAATTTGATTTTGGTGACCGTATCTATGTCCGCGACTACCGAGCAGGACATAAACCTTGGAATAAAGGTTCCATTGCAGCACGACGTGGTCGAGTTATGTACGACGTGAAGGTTGGTAATGATTTATGGACCCATCACTACAATCAGTTGCGTCCAAGAAACTCAAATATCCCATCCCCGTCGCCAAATTATGTTATGTACTGGTCGGTTAATTAATAGTCCTGACGCAAGAAGAGGCGGAAATCAGGAAACCACCAGGTTCACGATGATACTTGTATTTTTTCTTTTCAAACAACAAGGAAAATCAATGTCACACAAGTGTATGAGCGAATGTTCAAAAATTTGAACGAATCAATAGGCAGTCTTAACATGATTGTTAATTATAATGGAATATCAATCCATATATACATAGCAAAATATAACAGACTGTCAAAAACAAACACACACATATTATGTGGATACACATCACCATGGACAAGTAGGTCATCGGTGTGTGTGGATGACATAAAGGAGATCGTATTTTTGGGGGGGAGGGAGAGGATGAGATAAGAGATGATAGGCAATCGTGGCGCCAGTCAGCTGAAGGGGATTTTAGAAAAAAGAAGAAAGTAGAAATGTGGTGTTGTTGAAGTCAGCCCTATTTTCCACTTGGAACCCATGGGAACAATAATATTAATCACAATATTTGATCCCTAACTTTACTCAGCGTAATGCCTAAACAGAGCTTACCGTCACAACTAAAGTATATCTCTTTTATTACAGAAATAAAATGCAAACTTAACAGATTCTAATCGAATTTCGGCAAAGTTAAACTTTCGACACCACTAACAACCACCAATCAATCAGCAAACGACCTTGAACGGACCAATCACATTAAAGAGGCATATATGATAAATAGAAAAGTATATTTATAGAACAAAAGGCATAAAAAAGAGTACAAAACGTTTACATGGGATATCTTTCTCGAACATGTGAGAGAAACATTTCCCAGTTTAGCATGGGACTGTCCATGGAGAAGTTATACCACATCCTGTACATATATTCATCTAAATGACTATAAATGAGATCATTTTGAGATCCATTTATAGCCCTTATCCTGTTTTTCAAGCTGGCCGCAAAACCCTTCAATGAAATTCGTATGAGTCCTCGTAATAGGGTCGACAAAATCACTTGAATGGTTTACTCTGTGATGAATATACCCCAGAGATGACAGCGAATTATAACCTTCCCACTCGTCCGTGTGTATAATTGACCTCCGTTTAACAAGTCTCGTTATAATAGGTAATAAAGTGGTTGCTTTTCTGTTAGCTATCCGTTCGACGAATCCCTTTCGGAGGGGGGTGTCGTATAAACCTAATATCCAAATGTTGTTTGCTCGCTGGCGACCATGGTTCTATTGATTTTTCACCAGCACAGTTTCATCGACATGCACGATAACGTCTTCTCCACCCAGCAAACAAGTGATTTTCTCCATTTTCCATGAAGCAATGTCTCTGCAATGCCGGTACCACTGAACTGTTGAGACGAGGCTATTCTCCGTCTCGGCAGCTACTGCTCTCACCGGCTGTTTCAACACCCAGTAGTTGCAGATATATAAGTTCCTACGAAATATAAAAATTATCAGCTTACCCTCTCTAATGCTAGCACGCTTGAAACATATAGCACAACGATGAACAAATCCATCAGTTGATCTGCTATAGCTTTTTAAAGTCATGAAACCACCATACGAACAAGTTCGCTCCTTCCGGAGCAACCCTAAATCTAGGCAGTACTGGAAAACACTATCCTCCTCTAATTGCAACCGTAATCTTGTAAGGGCACGCATTCGAAATGAATCAAGCGCTATACAACATTGAACTACATGCATGACCTCATTGGATAATTTGACATCGTTCGTGAATATCATTGAATAATTCGCTGATTGGTAGTTAGTGGTGTCGAAAGTTTAACTTCGCCAGAATTTCTTATGTGTTTAATCGCAGTTGATAGGCTGAGCATGGAAGTTGGTAGAAATCAAACTTGCTGCTGTTTACCTTCTCGGCTTAGATAAAACGGAGGCAGTCAATTTCAACTTGAATATTTCCCCAAGGAGTGTTGCGGTGGGTGTTATATCGCAACCTTTGGTTTACACAACTGGGATATTTGACGTATTCATAAAAACGTCTGAAGTTCATCAATCGACAAGTCATATAAAGCAGAAGATCCTAATGAAATATTCCTTTCTAACTCAGAGATACGTGAACTGATAGAGTCAGTGTGATATAAGGTACGCTCCTTGAGAGAGAGTATACGTTGGGATGTGCGTGTGACTGCGTTGTAGCGCTTTCTAATACCATTTGGGATAAACATGCAGTTAAGAGATGATATCCAAACTTTGAGAACACTTATATACAGTTTAGAAGGATATGATGGCCAATAATTACAGAGTTGATTGAAACACGCAAATAAGTCTCAAGGAAGGATTTTACGATCACTCCGTTATGTGGATAAATGCTATAAGCAATCATAATGTATAAATAACTGCTTAAATCTTATTTTCTACACGACCAGTTGGGTGATTCCCCAATCGAAAGATGAAGTATCTAGACTAGACTAACCACTTCTAATTGTATCTACCAATCCAATTACACTTGTAGTGGAGCAAGTTATATTGTCTTTTGATCGAGGAAATTGATTTTTCGTACTCATACAGGAACATCTTCCAGTGTTGTGGTTAAATAAGGGTGCGGAGAGTAGCATCACTAGCTGCACACTAGACCACCTGGTCTGAACCGGTTACAAAGCAAACTAGCATTGAAGAATCCTTCTCTATCATCATCTGTCGGGTACCAAGTGCGTTGGTGGCACAGTGCGGTTAGGACTCTCGCCGACCATGCACATGGTCCGAGATTCGATCCCCTGCCACTGACGCACATCTGATATCTATGGCCGGCCTGCAAAATTTGGGCTACCGATATCCATGCTGAAAATTCTATACTTGTATCGAAAATACAGTGTGGAATCAAGCTGTAATAAAAAAAAATTGCCGAAAACATCTAGGTACTGAATACTCCAAACAGCAGAGACTATTACGATCTGCTTAAATCAACCAGTACTATGTGTTCAGAAGAAACAAGTCCAACTAACCAGCCACTATTACTGCCCTGTTCGGCCTTCAGTGAAGAGAATGTTAATTCATGAATTTGTATGATTACGTTTCCTAATTTTTCTGATATTCATTCAGTGTATAGTGTTATGTTGATGTCACTGAACTGTAATCCATTGATATTGTTATTATCAATTGATTCGATGTTATTTAAACAACGACAATAATGTTCAAGTGTTGGTTTGTAGGGATTTGTTTGGTTTCAGGATTTCATCATGAGCTGACATTAGTTAGAGAACCATTGGAAAACCTGCCACAGGGAGTACTCTGGACAGCTGTTTCGTCCTAGTCCGGGACTCTTCATCAGTACGCACCCGCCGCCACTGTTCGAACCCAGGAACTTCCGGTTACAAGGCGAGCTAGCTCGTATACCATTAAGCCAGAGGGACTCGATCCAATGGTCCTTGAATTTTAACTTAGGGTGCAGTTGGTCGGGTGTGAGGACAAATACTCGCCAGGGAAGACATTGGCTAGCGGTCGCACTATATCGCGAATTGGCAGAAGTTAGAATTCAAGGACTGGTCATTGGATCGGGTCCCAGTGGCTTAATGGTATACGAGCTAGCTCGCCTTATAACCGGAAGGTCCTAGGTTCGAACAGTGGCGGTGGGTGCGTACTGCTGAAGAGTCCCAAACTAGTTTGACGAAACAGCTGTCCAGTACTCCCAGCTTGTTTTCCAATGGTTCTCTAACTAATATCAGCTCATGATGAAATCATGAGACAATAATGTTGTTGTTGTTAATGACACTAATTCATTCATTCATTCACTATTATGGATGGATGCATATGTAACTGTAGAACCTGATGATGATGAAGAGGTTATCGAAAAGTGAGAAATTCTTTGTGCAGTAATCTGTCTTTTGAAGACAGCTAAATCGTTTATTTCTATGTAGCTGCTTTTACTCCTCTGTTTGACTTTCCAAAGGCGTTATTGTTAAGAGAACTGCTAGTTACTTCATGACTCAAAGTCTCAAAAGGAATTATCTGTCTTCAAGGGAAATATCTTTTTCGAAATGCTAAATGACAGATTCATCCATCAGAACAATACTTAGAGTAATCTTCCTGAGAATTAATTAAACGCCACTATATATATATATATATATATTAGAAATTTCCTCTTTCACAGGTCACAATTATACTTCGCTGTCTGCCGGAAAAAAATTTCAAAAACTCAGGTCCTCTTTTGAGATGATGACACCTCTGGTGCGTTGGTGACACAGCGTTGGAATGCTCGCCGCCAACCACAACCGCCGCAGTGTGGTCCGAGTTTCGATTCCCAGCCCAACCGGTCGGGGAGCACTGAAGCACTCCTCACTCACTAACTCGCTAAGCCAGTAATAAGACTGGTAAAAAAATGGGAAGGTTGAGATTGGGTATCAGGGTAGCAGCAAACCAATCCCGTAGAAATAAATGAACACCACTGTTACAGAAACTTCAAGCCCCTTTAGCTTGAAGGTGCCCTATGTTTGACACTGGGAACGCAAAGGAAAAAGATAAACAGCAATAATAATAATCACAGTGAAACAATAGTAGTTTCAAGGTATATATATGAATACATTTCCAATGTGTTTCTGTTTATATATATATATATATTGACTTCTAAGCCTTGGGTTTTGTCAGTTCCTTAAGCAGTAATGGTTTACTATAAGGTACATCTAATTTGTATCCACTTTTGTTCAGTTGATCATTGGATACAGATTTCAGTGTGGAAGTTTCATCTGATAAATGAATTTGAGCCAGACTAACTGATCGTCCTTGTAGTTTCAATGGATTCAATGCCCCGAGATGATTTTTACTATTATTATTATTTGGTCCAGGTGTATATGCCTTTCTTTTGAATGGTGATTTTAAAAGTGATTGAATTCCTTTACTCATTATCAACAATTTCATAGAGTTGTTATTCTCTGCGGATTGATTCACCTCTTCAGGTGTGTTTAACACATTCGATATTGGTGACTTATTTCTCAGTGTATTTGAAGAAGAATACATTGGTAAAGTCAATTGACTTGAAAATTGTTCATTGCTTGGTAGTCTAGATCTTGGCATTGATCGATTACTAATTGCAATCGACTCATTTGATGATTGATCTAGATTAGTTGTACTTAATGATGACTTTTTTAAAGATTTTAGATATTTTGAAGGATTTTCATGTTTCATCCATAGTTGATGATTGGGGATTCTTGTAGGATGATGATGATGATGGTGATGATCAAAGTCAGTTGATGAATTGTTGACTTTTTCAACTGTTATTGGTCCCCATGGGGATTCAGTAAATTTTCTTTGAATTAAACGACGTTCATTTATAGCTGGGAATAAACTATTTAGATATGGACTCTTTTGATGATCCTGTATTTTTTTTAAAAAAAGACGAATAAACGAAAATTAGTCATCTATGTAGATTAATAAATAAATAACTTAGATTCATCTCTGTCTGATACAAGTGAATATTACACACAAAAATGCTTATAGCATTGAAATTCATTATAATAAAAGTTTTTTTTTGTATTTTCGAATGAATCAATGAAGAACAAAACGGAGGTTGTTTTTTTTAAGTTTTGGTTTGTAGGGATTTGTTTGGTTTCAGGATTTCAACATGACATGCATAGAAAGAGAGAGGTCATCGTCAAGCATACTTAACAAAAGTGGCTACATCAGAATCGGGCAAGTCATGTAAGAAAAACGAATGTAAGAAGAAAAATGCACATGTGAGTGTGTGTGTGTGTGTGTCTACAGTAGGTTTCTGAGACAAGAATAAAAATTAGCTTGTCTAATTGCTGTTTACATCATAAAAAAAATTTCATAAAAATGTGACGAATAATCGAATTGCAACTACGTAGAGCGATGGGTAAAGATTAATAAGTAGTGACATTACATTTTATGTTAGCAATGCATGCATAGATGCTGTCAGTTGAAAATTTTGTATTTTAGGATGGAACTTCATGAAACTATCAAGAAATATATGCTGAGCGAAACCTGAGTCGTATGTATTTATTTTTGGTTGCTCAATATACTACTGATAAAAGTTATAAGTAGCTTCGTTAATCATGTAAAAATATAATAAGGTTAAATTCGTGCTTTTTCAATGGATTGGAGGATTTCATCATGAGCTGACATCGGTTATAGAACCATTGGAAAACCACTTGGGAATACTGGACAGGTTGAGACTCTTCAAAAGTACACACCCACCCGACCGCCTGAGTCCGAACCCAGCACCTTCTGATTTCACGGCGAGCCAGCTGGGAGACCATTAGGCAGCCACTCATCAGGACCCGACCCGATCCGATTGACAGCCAACCAGCCAGCCCATGAATTCTAACAGTAGCTGACCTCATATTTGACACACTGTTTGTTCTATTGATACAGGTTTGTTAATAAGCACAATATCTTATACACAATCTAGGCTAACTGCAGTTTTTTCTACGATATCAAGTATGGGACGTCCATAACACATATATTTTTCGGAAGTATTGATAGTAGTTTTATAAAATTCTTAATCACGTTTTAATGATAGTTATAATAGTTAAAACAATCAGTTCCCTTAAAGGATATCGAGAAAGTAATAAGAAGACGCAGTTTCGTCTGAATCTTGTATTGTGTATTTGCATGCAACACTTATTTCGAATAATCTGATCACACACAGACTTGTCAGGAAGTAAACTCACTCCAACAAATATTTAGACTTCAAATCATCACATCCCATCAGCGCAAAGATTTCAGTTGTTTCAAGTCTTCTTAGACGAGCACACTCTCTGATAACGGATGAGCAAGAAAAAGAAGAAGAAATATCAAACATTACTGAAACTCTCAAGCAAAACAACTACCCGAGGAACTTCATCAACAAAATCAACACAGGCATTAAGTATGGCAGAAAATGCATTCCGAAAACATGGACTTCAACAGTCGTCATTCCACATAAAGCAGGGACGTCAGACGATATCAGAAGAGTACTCAATCAGCTCGAAATTAGAGTTTTCTTAAAAACATCGAACACACCTCAAAACAACCTTGCCCATATAAAATACCAAATCCCTAAACATTCTCTATCTAATTGTGTCTACAAAATAAAATGCTCGGAATGTGATGCGGTCTACATCGAACAAACATCTCGAGAAATCAAAATCAGAAGAAATGAACAGCGTAGAGCCTCATCTCTTCGACCACCAAGAAATCCAGTTGAACTAGAAAAACTTCAAAAATCAGCCATCTGTCTACACGCGACCCTATAGAATCAGGCCACAAAATTGATTTTGATAATAATGAAATCATCATCCAGAAAAACTTCAGAAACCACAAAGAACGTCTAATATCAGAAGCACTTCACATATCAAATGGAATCCAAATTGCCTGAATAGGAATGATGGACTAAAACAGAATCTGACTTGGCTACAACGACCCCTCCCCCATGAAGTGACAAAATCAACACAAATGTGATAAGCAAGTTCACTATGTAAACACACACTACTTTCATAATTCTACACACTGACAAAATCCAACAATCTACACTTGATTTTGTTATCTTTACCAGTTCGCCAACTTGACAACAAAAAATGACTTCAGACAGACGAGCGATGATCAAGTTAGTAAACTTTATTTTGATATAATAACAGATACACTATTACCTTTGATATTTGGTTTGAACGATCTTCATTGCTGTTTTAACTTTCAATATATCCTTTTAAGTTGAACTAAGTCTATGTTTTTTCTCACCCCTAACTTTTTGTTATACATATGCTGAGTGTATTTTGTGAATTCCGGTTTAATAATACTTTGAGAAAGCTATTAGCAGCAGCATTAAATAGCGAAACGTCAGTAAACACAACAGTTTCGTTTTGTTTTTCATTCATTTCATATATATATATATATATATATATATATATGAAATCAAAAGATTTAATAGGTGAGAAAATAGACAAGTTAAGTCAAGTTAAAAAGAGGACCATATTGAAGATCAAAATAACGACGAACAAATTTGAATTTGCATGGATTAAATTTACATCTCAAGGTGATTAACTTCATAAATCAGCATCATTGAGTGGACCACTGCCAGACCCATGAGCCAACCAGTGATCGAAACTAAGTGATTCAGATTACTGGTTAAGCAGGTTATCTATCATTCAATCGGGAATTGTTTTAAGAAATTCAACTGATACGTATTGCTGTAATAGGGTTGCAGGCAAACTATCCTTGGGTAGCTCATATTAGACCTAGTTATGTTTCGTGCGTGCTGGCACACATCACTCACAAAGGCAGATCTGCAACCTTGACAGGACTCATTTGCCTTCTGATGTTCGAACCTGCGTCACCTTGTGAGCGCTGCAGTGAGTTAGAGACGTTACCAGCACTTAGCTATTCCAATGAGCGATTCAACTCCTGCAGGACTAGCTGTATTCGATACTTTTGATTGTACACTAGTTATTGATCAGTATTATGATGTATCTAGTCCTTTATTCGGCGAAGACTCAAATCCATCAGTAAATGTTGCAGTATGGCCACCAACAGGCTAGATTTTATTTTATTTATTTTTTGATTACAGCTTGATTCCACACCGTATTTTTGGTGGAGGTATGGAATATTCAGCATGTGATATCGGTAGCCCAAATTTTGCAGGCCGACCATAGATATCAGGTGTGCGTCAGTGGCAGGGGATCGAACTCCAGACCGTGTGCATGATCGGTGAGAGTCCTAACCGCACTATGCCACCTAGATGGTTCACCATCACGATGCATATTGATTTCATGATATTAGACGAGTGAAGACAACCTGTCCGACGAAGCCCTGCCTAGATCTAATTGGGTTTTGTGCTTTTTGGCACATACTAATTAGAAAAGAGTGTCTGCAGTTCTTAAGAAAATCAACCAGGACCATGATGGATATTTTATATTGGACAACAGGAGTTACAAATGTCGTATGTCAGGTCCTTCGTTTGGTGTAGAATTCCACAAATTGACCAACCATTTAACAACAATTTAAAGCTCACCGTAATGTCAAACCACCAATTAGAATGGTAATCACATTGAAAACCCTAACAGACAGAAATCAGTAGGTGACAAAAGCGTCAAGGAGGTAGACTTATGACAATTATCACTTCCTATCAGCGATTGACATGGAAAATAAGATTTGGATTTTCAACTTTAACGTGAAGTCACTGCTACTAAGGACACCTCTAACAAACTATATACCTTCACCAACAGCTGTCCTTGCTCAGTGCTCTGCTCACTCAAGATCAGATGACCATCTAGAAAAGATGAGCAATAGGCAAAGATCTCTGGAAATGAATCAACCAACGAACCAACCCAACTTAGCAAGAAGCAGTTGTGAAACAAATACACAGGAAGAAATGCAGGTGGATTGGATTGTGACCATACTCTGAGCAAAACAAGCCATCAAATGAGTGACATCGGACGTCAGGTTCTTTTTCCCTAGAGTGAAATCTGAATAGGAAGCGGTGAGTTAGTTGGTCGTGAGTGTGAGAGTGACATAGAGGAGGAGGAGGAGGCGGCGGAGGAGGAGAAAGTGATGCAAAGAGCAGAAGCGTGAAGAGACAGACGTGAAAAAATTGGCGGAGAGCCATGAACGCAATGGAGACGTGTGGCTGAAGTCAGTCCTATGTTCCTTTAGGAATTAAAAGTGACAACAATAATATTATAATAATAATAATACATAAAAGGCATTCATTCATTTAACTCGTGGAAACTTCCCATTGTAACATTTAGAAAATCAAAACAAGTGATAATTCAGCGAAGAGACTCTTTTCAACAACGAATTTATCATCAAGCTGTACAGTCGTATATATATGGTTTCTTTTAAAGAAGTTATATCCAGTGAGGGAATTGAATCTTACATGTGAATGCATAAAATAATAATAATAATATTAAGTTCAATTAAAAATAAATGTTTGTGATTATAATCGTAGTTAAATGTCAAGTGGCAAAGCAGATTAATGTCATATATAGAATAATTCATAGGATGGATAGAACTTGAAAAGGGATGTGCAATTATAGGATTAGTAGACAAATCGAATAAAACAAAAACGTTACGTAATATTTATTGTGTGAAATTTAATAGCATAGAATTTATCGTTGTAAAAAAGAGGAATTGATTTCGAATGACAAGTGGAACAATACCGGTGAAATAATACCGGGGACAGTTCAAAGTGAGAATAGTAATACTAGTAACAATTGACATAATAAGGAAGAGTATACAAATTGAATAGACAAAATGAAAAATGAAAAATTGGTAGAGCTAAAATATGATTGGGGATTACCATATTTTAGCATAGAGGGATTAAGACCATGAAAGTTGGAGGGAAGGGTTGAAGGAACTTTTTCTGTACACACAGAGATCTG